GGAGTCACCTTTGAGTTTGACACATGTCGCACCCTCGCCCCCCCAACCCCCGCGGGAAAATAAATCAGCCTCCAAAGTTGTGGGGACCAATGCAGGCTGATTGGAGCCTGCATTTTCCTGAAAAATTGTCCCCACCAAGTAGCAAAAACATGGGCGCACAAACTCACACACACACACTTCGACCCAGAGTTCATTAGGTGAAGCATGGTTAATTAATCCAGCAGACATACCGGAGTGATGCAGTTACTGTCGAACCTCTCTTTGATTTCTTCAGGGGGAAGGTAACCTCCTGGAAAAAAACAACAAGAAGACTTTAATCTGGAACTGAAAACACCTGGATTATCACACTGACAGGATTATAATCTATAAAACCACAGGGATTATCACACTGACAGGATTATAATCTATAAAACCACAGGGATTATTAAACTGACAGGATTATAATCTATAAAACCACCTGGATTATCACACTGACAGGATTATAATCTATAAAACCACCTGTATTATCACACTGACAGGATTATAATCTGTAAAACCACCTGGATTACCACACTGACAGGATTATAATCTGTTTTCTCTCATTTAAAAAGGAACCTAATATTATTTCTAGTCTTATTTTGAAACAAAATAAGTTTGTCAGTTAATCTAAATTAATATTAAATTTATAATTTTTGTAACTGGTCCTAATTTAGGATAAATCTTTAAAACCAAAGGTTTAGTTAAATGCTTTTTAAAAGCCAGTTTCTGTGAGACTCCTGCAAGCTGAACACAAAGACAAAGCTGCTCTCATCTGCTGACGTTGACCATGATGTTGCCATGGAAACGAGGAGATGACCCACGATGCTCCTCATCAGGCAGAACTTAGCACCGCTGCCTTTGTACCAGCGACGCAGCCGAGCAACAGCGTCAGAACCAACAACACTGTAGTCTGAGTGTTTTTACTCTTCATTAGGGAAGGCTTCTTCTGCTCGGCTTTCTCTGATACTGTGTCACTGAATACTGACACCTACTGGACCTTAAAATCCCTACAGGTAACACAGGTGACAGACTCAACTGACACATTCTACTGTATATACAATAATATAATTAAAGTTGTATTTTATATTGTACTAATTCTTCAATGAAATTGAAAATATTTCAGATTTTGTTTATTTATTTATTTAACAATCTTTTATTCAGAAATATAACTTTTGAAATTGAGTGTGATACACTTCCACACAAGTTCTCCGGCTGTAGAAACCAGCCGCTCACACACGCAGATGAACCACAAAAGATCAGAGAATCCTTTGGCAGCTGCATCATGTTGACAGGTTTATAGGCGACACGTTGAACACGGTGCGAGGGTGCGCGTGCCAACAGTGTAAAAATCACGCTGTCCCTGCTCCTGCGTGTTGACGCCGTGCGGCGTCCCAGTGCTGCACTGAGTTTTTGCACCATGCAAACCGTTTGTTGGTTCTACTCCAACAACGTAAGCACCAAGGATAAACAGCTCCAACGCTGGCGAAGGTGAACTTGAACCCAAAGCACAGCTCGGAGCCAGGCTTTTGAAACATCAGCTCCAAACAGTTCCTGCATCGTCACATCACTTTCTTTAGAGAATCACGCTCCGACACAGGGTTTGCTCTATGAGCTCGGCACATGCACCAACCCATCAGTGATGACAGACCCATCACTACAAAGTAGGAATGCGCGATATAAATGATATACGGTAGAAACTTTATAAATTTGTCCTATGATACAGATCTGTAGTCTACCGGACAACCACGCAATTCTTTTTGATGATGTAACCAGCTGGAGTCAAAACAGAGGAAGCGGGAAGCAGCCTGGCTGAGAGCGCAAATGAGGAGGCGGGGGAAAAAAAACACCCGAACCGGACCTGGTTCGGGTGTGCGAAAATGAACGTCTAACTGTTTACATATTTATGTGACGGCGCGTCCTCCGGTCGGATGTCGACCGACCACACTGCCTGCTGCAGGAGGAGCGCGCGCCGCAGCACATGGTGACGCAGCGAGGCGATTGTCAGTGCAGGTGAAGTAGTGCTCCAGGACTCACAAGGGCTCTCTGAGTCTGGACCTCGTTTCTCCTGCGGTCATAGCGCGACGCCGCACGGCCGAATGCGCACACTCCACACCCACTTTGCGCGCGTTCCAAAGCGCGACTATAAAACTCAGCCTTTACTGTCTCCTTGTACAGCAGAGAAATAAACAATTTGTTTTACCGCCTTAAAACAAAGCAAGTTATTCCAAACACAACACCCAATGGATGCAGATATCTATTATATTAAAGTTAGGGTGTGTGTGTGTGTGTTTGATTTAACCAGGTAGATATCCCTTAAATTTAGATTTTTATGGGAGACTTAAAAGTCTCCCTTAAAAAAGGAGATTTTAAGGTCTAATTTTTTTCCTATACATATTTATTCCACTTAATTAATGTGTGATTTATTTATTTTCTATTATAAGTTTTATATCGTGATATATATCGTTACCGCCACCCATCATAATGTATATCGTTATGGGAGACTTTAAAGTATCCCTTAAAAAAGGAGATTTTAAGGTCTAAATTTTTTCCTATACATATTTATTCCACTTAATTAATGTGTGATTTATTTATTTTCTATTATGTTTTATATCGTGATATATATCGTTACCGCCACCCATCATAATGTATATCGTTATGGGAATTTTTTGCCATATCGCACATTCCTACCCTGAACTTCTCGTCTTTTATTTGCTTTTTCAGGCAAATTCTTGTGTATATGGATGTATAGAGCAATCTCATGGATTTTTTTCATGTTTTATGGAATCTAGGGCTACAACTAACGATTATTTTATTAATCAATTAATGTGTCGATTATTTTTTTGATTAATCGACCAAATCATTAAAATGCTTATTTACATGAATATGAGTAGATATAAATTAATTTCATTCCTGTAAAAATTAGGGATGCAATTTATTGATTAATAA